GTGCTGTCATTTTATTCTATAATTCATTGAAACACTTTTTACTGAGCACACACTGGGAATCCCCAGTCTTTCTGCGATACCTATAAAAATACCTGAATAGAGGTCTATCCAGAAAAAAAATACAAATAGCCAATAATACATAGAAAGCGTTCAACATAGGCCAAAGAAATAAGTCAGTCAGTCCTTGTTTTGGAAGCATAAGGACCTGAGTTTGATCCCCTGACCCCACATTAAAAAGAAAGCAAGGCATGGGCTGGGGAGATACTCAGTGAGTAAGAGTGCTTAACAGCCTGTGTTCAAATCCGCAGAACCCATGTAAAAGATGGATGTGACTGCATTTCTAACCCCAATCAGGGGTTGAGCAGAGACAGAAGGATTGAAGGATCTTGTTGGCTTTGAGATATTGTCTCAAAAGAATAAGGCATCTTATATCCCCCTCTGACCTCTGTACTGTGTACACTGCCCCCCCCACACTCAAGCCCACAAGATTAAAAAAAATACCCTGGGTATGGTGGAATGTACTTATAATCCCAGCATTGAGGAGGCAAAATAGGTGTATGCCTCCCTAGGGCTTACTGGCCAGCCAGACTAGTCTACCTCAGGAGCTCGAGACCAGTGCCAGGCCTTGACTCAAAAAACAAGGTGAACAGCTCCTAAGGAGTGACATCCAAGATTGTTTTCTGACCTCCACATGTAAATGCACATGAGTATACACACAACATGAACAGACACACAGTGTTCATTGTTGTTCACAACCAAGCAACTTTAAATCAAAACTGCAATATTTGTTTATTCTTACTTCAGTTATAATGACCATTCTCAACCAGACAAAACCCCAAATTGACAAGAACAACCAAAAAGCAAAAACAATTGCCTAGAAGGAGATATGGAGAAAGAGAATGATTACATACTATCATGTTCTCATAAGAATATGGATTAGTGTGCCCGTTAAGGAGAAGAGTATTGGGGGCTCAAAAATGACAGAAGAACTTCGGTATGGCCCGGCAGTCTAACCAAGCACCTGTACATCTAAAGGAAAAGAAATCCGTACGTTGAAGAGACATCTACACCTTCATGTTTAGTGTAACACTATAGAAGCCAAGAATCAACCAAAATGCTCATCCATAAATCAATGGAGAAAATGCATGATATTTATTCACAGTGAAATGCTGCTGAAATTTTTCAAAAGTCATGAAATCTAATCAGTTGTCATTTCCAGCAACATGGATGAGCCAGGAGGACACTACATTAGTGAACCAAGCCAGAGGGATGAAACTAACCAAACCAACAAAAAGTCAAGTTTTGTATGATTTCATTCCCATGTAGTATCTTAAAGAAATTCATTTCATACAACTTAACAGTAGAGTGGTGGTTAGTTCATACTGTGGAGAACTGGGAAGATGAGGAGAGTTTAGCCAGTAAGTTTAACATTGCAGTTAGACAGCAGGAAAAAAACTCTACTGTCTTATTGTACAGTGATAAAATATAACACATTATAACAGTAATAATTTGTATAATTTGTTCTGTATCTAGTAGTGAATGTTCTCAATGAAAAGGATAAATATTTAAGACTGTAGGCTAATGACACTGACTTGAAAATTTTACATTACAAAAATTTATTGAGACATTATCAAACTCATACATATATACAATTCTTATATTGAACAAAAATGTTTTTTTCTTTACAAAGCCACATCAATCAGAAAGGAGCTAAAAGCAGAGGGATATACATACAACATAAATTACCATTGACCATGAAATTTATCCACTTTATAAAAAGAATGGGGACTGAGAATGTAGCTCAGTTGAAACAGTGCATGCCTAGCATACCCAGGAAGCCCTGGGACCCATCCCTAGCACTTCATAAACAAGGTACAGGTCTGTACTCTTAGCTCCCCAGAGATGGAGGCAGAAGCATCAAATGTTCCAGGTCATAGATGAGTACATAGTATGTTTGAAGCCTGCTTTGGCTACATGAGAATCCATTCTCTCAGGTCCAAAAAGGAAAAAAAAAAAAAATCTGACAGGACAGAAGTTCTATGTGCTGCATTTTTAATGTTTTCCCTTGGAAGTAGAGATCAACTATTTTTTGAATGTCTTCTTAGCACCAAGAAAATAAATTTGATGCAGGTATTTGTTAATTATCATTAATCCCTTTTTCCTGCTTTAGGTTTCAGTAGATGGGAATGCCCAGCCCAGAGGGATGATGTAACTTCCTTAAAGTCATATGACCAGTGTAGGAGACTCCTTTTAGTCTGGATCTGTCTTAGCTCAATGTGATCTTTCTCTGTAGCCCATGGACAGCTAATAGAACTATTTCTCCAGAAGCATAGGACTATTCTTTCTGTACAAGAATATCCATTATGTGATGACTGGGGCCCCTTGTTATGCCTTTAAACTGCTTTGAAAATGTTCATGGTGTGAGCTTGATGTGATTTGCTTTTGACCTTAGAATATCAAGGTGCATTGGCAACTTTTTAAAAATTTTGTAGCAGTTTTTTTATTGGTCCGAGGGGGTGTGACTTTTAGAAGAGCAGTGACGTAAAGACTTGAGAAGCCACTCATTTCCCCTCACTTCATTGTCCCCAAGGGGCCACATCTGCGATTGGTCTATCTGGGTCATGTTTTCAGTGGTAGCTGTTCTGCCCATGCAGGCAATTTCCTAGTCTATAATTATCCACAGATGCTCAATAACAAGCCAGAACCAACTCCACCCTACCCCACTGCTGTTCCTGTTCTTAGAAATGAGAGACAAATTTTGGAGGGACAGGCAAAATTTTTGTTTAATAGGCATTTTTCTTTTTACCAACTAATCTCTTGATAAGTTCTCTATCTTTAAGGGAATTTGTGGCCTTGGCATGAAGTGAGGCCTTATACTATCACTTAAATTCTTTAAAAACATTGTTTGGGTTAAGTATATGTGTGTGGCATGTGTGTGCATGTGTGTGCATGAGCATACACAGATCTCATACTGAACACAGAAATCCCGGTTAGACTGGCTGGTTAGCAAGCTCTCAGGATCTGCCTGACTCTGTCCCCCGGTGCTGATATCTAGTTGGCCATCACCAGGCCTGAATTTTCTGTGGGTGTTGGTGAGCCTTCTCCTAGCCCATCACCTAAACTCTGAGCTACTTGAAATTTTGTAGATTTCTTTTTTCATAGCATTTGACACATTTTTGTTTAGCATTGTATTTCCTTTGTGAAACATTCTCTCTGTTGGGTTTCCTTGGAACTCAATTGTTCTTGCCTCCTACCTGGTGTCTTGTTTAGTCTTTGATCACTGTTCAAGCACGGAGGCCACCCTAAGGCTCAGCTTTTGGACTTCGAGCTCTCTATGTCCACTCACCTACAGGCTTTTCACTCACACTATAACCAAATAAAGTTCATGATTCACATTCTTTGCCCCTGGGCTGATTTTCTGCTGGATCTTATTCTCTATTTATGATAGATACTATGTGCTATGCATTTTTATTCTTCACTGATTTTTCCTTCACTGGTTTATTCATACATTCTAAAGATATTTTTGCTCATGGATGTAGATATAGCTCATTGGTAAGCATCAGAGGGCCCTGTGTTCAATCCTCAGTATTGCAGGGAAAGAAAGAAGAAATATTTGTGCTCACATTTCCTGTGACCTACTTAAAAACAAGAAGAAGGTCTGGAGGTGGCTTAGTCAGTAAAGCGCTTCCCTTGCTAGCATTCTGATGGGAGTTCGATCCCCAGAACACATGTGAAAATGTTGGGTGGAGTAGATCATACTTATAAATGCAGTGCTCAGGAAGTGGAGACCAGTGGCTCCCTGGGGCTCACTGGCATCAACCTAGCCTCCATACCAATGAGAGACCCTGCCTCATAGAACAAGGTGAATGTTTCCTGAGTACCAATGCCCAAGGTTTTCTTCCAGGCTCTACATGTACACACATATGTGGGCACCGATGCACACATGTACATCTTTACACATACAACTATGCGTATACAAATGTCCATACACACGATGTACTCAAAGAGCTAATTACATCCCTGCCTGTCACAGAGTTGAATGTTTGTTCTCTTAACATGGCAGCATATCCTAGTTGAGCTTCAGCCTCTGTTTTCTGCTAAATTAACTTCATTTAGTGTCTCCCAATAGCTCTGTCTCAGGCATTCAGTCCAGAAGTGAATATCTTCCTAGCCTTCCCAGATAGTCAAATATTCATCTACTCTTACTGATACTCTCTTCATCACATAGTTTTCTATCTCCTCTGGCAGGTCAGTACCTATAGCTCTTATTTTCAAAAGTGCGTCTAATTCTTAAATTTTCTTTTTCGTTTTCACCACTACGTGCCCATACCATCTTAACGACCCGACGTGAAGAAAATCACTGAATTTTATTTTTCTTTGCTTAAAGATCTCTTGTGATTTTTCTCATTGGCTCCAGGATGGAGGTCACAGTCTGACATGTGAGAGCATCTACAATTTTCCCTCACTATTTAGCATCAGAAGCAACAACGAAAATATTAAAAGCTATTTTGGGTTGCATTGCTTAATGTGGGTGAGGCATTAAGATGCAAGCCTCGTAATTTTCACAGATAATATAAAAGTTAGGTACAATTGTATTCTTGTTTAAAAGATAAATATACTGAGGTTAAAAGATTTAAGTGCCTTTTTCAATATATCGTTCAGACTATACATAGTGGAAGATGACTGTACCTAGGACGTGTATACTTCAGCTTCTCTAGACTAATGTCTGTACATGTATCTTGCTATGCATGTTTTGTCATGTCACCTAAATAGGAAGCTTCCTATGTCAGGAAACAAGTGTTTTGTTATTTTTCTACATAGTGTTATCTGCTGGAGGCTCAGCTACTGAGCCACTGACATTGATGAGATGCAAGACCAAGTTCAGGTTCATTGCTGGGCAGAGGGACTCATTATTGCATTCATATGAGGAGATTTGCAGTCCACGTTCATCATGAAGAACCTCATGTTTGGAGCACTGTAAATGTTGTTCTGTGAGTGGTCATACCTCCTGGAAAGGGCATGCACAAGCAGAGATTGGAAGATCTGGGATGCAGTATCGATCCCCCAGAAACTTGACATAGACCAATTGCAAATCCCATCCTGTATCAGTTCTGAAGAGGAAGCTCTCTGATGATTACATATTTGCTGTGTCTGATACTCTTTGATTCTTAACCAGCAATAAATGCTTTTAAAATCTATCCCCCCGTAAGTTTTAAGAAAACACTACCAAAACCTCTAAGAGCAGACAACTACACACTTCTGAAGAACAGCGTGCTATCTGAATTAACATGGCTTGTCTTGGCCCTTCTCCATTTGGGGGCTAATGTGGTGGAATGAGTTGGTAGGACCTTTGAAGTTCAGTAGTACTCTTAAAGCTAATGCTCTAATCCTTGCCACTGAGAAACTTGGCCAAGTGACGTCTCTTCACCTCAGTCAAAGCCACTATTCTTGCCCCATCCCCACCTGACCTTGCCATAAGTATACTTCAATGACATTCTAAAATATTTTGTCAGAAAAACATAAACTCCCAAGTGAGTAGGAATAGGTAAGTGCTTTGCAGTCTGCTCTGAGGCACAGACTACAGCCAGTAAGGTGCAGGCAAGACAATCTACAAGTGAATGGCTGAATCTGCTTTGTAACTGCACCTCAGAATTCAAACTGCACTCCCTATGGATCTCTACAACTAAAAAAGCTAAGGAAATACATGCAAAATATAGATAGCCTTTTTCTATAAGGCGAATACTGATGTTTAGAGCTATAAATGCTCTTTGATGATGAATTTAGATAAACTTTAAACTGCTTAATATTTCATATGCAAAATTTGGCAAAGGTTTGATACATTTGTGACTTTCTGAGTAGCTCGGGAGCAAGGCAAACTCGTTTCCCAAGTGCAATTTCATAAATATTCAGATGGTGGGTGATTATAGTAAATATGGAGAAATATGCAACACATTATTATACTTCTCAATCAAATATGCTAAACAGTCTTTTCATTCATTGTACTGAATAAAGAATTCCAAAATACCAAAATGATTTCTGTAAAAGATTCATGTGTAAAGTTCAGAAAGTAAATTTGATTAAAAGAAAACCTAGCTCAAGTGATTGGTTGAAAAAAGTTGCTTAAATATAACATGGAGGAAATATTCAAATATTAAGCTGCTCTGAATGTCTGGGCCTAATTGCCTCATTTGCATTCTGCTCAGGTATTCAATTGATCGTCATACTGACCTCGACAGGTTTTTCACTATTAATCCTGAGGATGGTTTTATTAAAACTACCAAACCTCTAGATAGAGAGGAAACGGCTTGGCTCAACATCTCTGTCTTTGCAGCAGAAATCCGTAAGTATTTTCCCAAGGGCATTGATTCTATGTCACTAAATATTAATTCTTCAGACTTTATAATCTGGAAAATAATATTGCTGAGATGGACTTTTATTTTAGTCTTAAAGATGGTTTTTGTCTTTAAAATTTATTTTTAATTATTTATCTAGAAAGAAACCTAAGGAAATATAAATGTTTTCATTATTGTGTAAGATATGTATACAAACTCAGCAAGGGGGCTTAAACTGTTTAAAATCCTTGATGGTCATGGTAAATCCCAAACAACAGCCTTATAGTCAAGACTTGTAAGGTTTTGTTAATTAATAAATTAGTTGTTTTTGAACTTGATCATGATCAAGCCCTCTCTATGCATCTCATTGCTGGGTTATTATAACAAAAATTCCTGGACCCATTCTGGGAGCCTCTTTTTCAATAGGTCTGTAGTAGAGCCTAATAATTTATATGTGGAAAAAAATGGCCATATGGGTTTGATGCTACTCTTGGGACCTCACGTTGAGAATCACTATTATAGATTACTTTCCATTATAAGCTTTTTGAATTGTTACTCAGAATTAGAACCAGCAGAAGTAGAAAAGCAGTTTAGTTCCTACTAGTTTGAGTGGCATTTATTCCAGGAATCCTTCCACTGAATTTTACACGCTTCAGACCTGATAGAGTTTTGTGCCAACAATGCATGCATTAGTTTTCTCACTGATGTGACAAGTACCTGAGAGAAAACTTCAAAGGCAGGAATGATTTCTATGGGTTCACAGATTCAGAGTTTCAGTTCATAGTCAGCTTGCTCCATTACTGTGTACCTATGGTGATGCAGAACATCATGGTAGGGGACATCTTATAGAGCAAACCTGCTCAGCTCTGGATAGATGTCAAGCATAACCCCAGTGACTAACTTCTCCAACTCGGCCCTACTTCCTACTTTTCATAATTGTCCCCATTAACTCCATTCTTTTATGAACCCATCAGTGGGTAAATTCATTGATTGGGTCAAAGCCCACTGGATTCACTCATTTCCAAAAGCCCATCTGCCAGAAACCAACTCCCAAGGATATGAGCAAGTGAGGAACATTTCCTGGTCAAATCATAGCATTTCTTTTCCACAACTGCCTATGAGTGTTTCAACCTGGCCTTTGTTTACTATCTGAATTCTGTCCTCCCAGACAACAGACATCAGGAAGCCAAAGTTCCAGTAGCCATCAGGATCCTTGATGTCAATGATAATGCTCCCAAGTTTGCTGCCCCTTACGAAGGCTTCATCTGTGAGAGCGATCAGACCAAGCCACTTTCTAATCAGGTAAGAATGCTTTACCCTGTCCTGGCTATTAGTAATGAACTTGGGTATAGAGTTTGTTTTTGAAGGCATCACCTAGAGATCCCTCCCACTGCCCAAGGAGGTTCCCTTCCTTAGTATGCCTTGAAGCTATGCTAATTAAAATCAAGCTTTTTAGTCAGCTCGGAAATTCTGGATAAATGATATGCCAGTATCATTGTGATGTCTTTATTTATGAGCCACCTTTCTCTTTCAGCCAATTGTTACAATTAGTGCAGATGACAAGGATGACACAGCCAATGGACCAAGATTTATCTTCAGCCTACCCCCCGAAATCATTCACAACCCAAATTTCACAGTCAGAGACAACAGAGGTTTGTACTAAGGTTCCTTTGCATTCAGAAAAGCAGAAATGCAAAACAAACGGCTTTTATATTGCACAGCAGGAATATTTTCATTGATCTAATAATGCCTTCCTAGTGAAGAATAATCAGAAATAATCACACCACCTCCATTTGGACATATGGATCATTTGATTCATATGAATGAGTCTAATTTTCTTATACTTTGCCTTGCCCTCCCTCCCTCCCTCTGAGCTGGAGCACAGGCCATGGAGGAATACTGTTTACTGGCTTGGTCCCCTGGTCCCTGCTCAACCTGCTTTCTTTTCTTTTCTTTTCTTTTCTTTTCTTTTCTTTTCTTTTCTTTTCTTTTCTCTTTTCTTTTCTTTTCTTTTCTTTTCTTTTTTCTTTTCTTTTCTTTTCTCTTTTCCCTCCCTCCCTCCCCTGAACTAAACTCTTTCTTTCTTTCTTTCTTTTCTTTCTTTCTTTCTTTCTTTCTTTCTTTCTTTCTTTCTTTCTTTTTTTCTTTCTTTCCTTCTTTCATTTGAAAGTCACTAAGCAGTGGGAAAACCAGGGGAGAAAGCTTATAGAGTCAATATGAAAACAACTCCATTTATCTCTTTTTACAAAGAGATTGATAAAATCTTCGGGGAAAGTGTGGCTTTATGAATATTGATATCAAGTAAAGCCTTAAAAGAGTTTAGTTCAACTTTGTAAGGCAATATAATCTTTGATGCACAGGGCTTCTTCTCCATAGTTGCAATGCAGAGTGGCTAGGAGCAGAATTTCATATTTGAGAGTAGTTGCAGATGTGTCACTTGAACGGATTAAAATGAAGCATTCTTTGCTTTTGTTAAAAAGTGGCAATTTAATGTTATTCTTGCTTCTCATTCTAGCAGTAGAGTTTCTAGACTTGTGGATTTTTAGAAGGAGATATTCTTGTTGTGTATACTTGGAATGATATAGTTCTAGGACAAAGTTAGTGGCAAAGTCAAGTGCAAAGAATAAGTGAGCCTTTGATACACAGGCTACATTGTTATTTTCTTAGGAGTTATGATAAAAATTATGCATGTAATTTTGAGGAGAGAAATGACATCATCTAGGATGGGAAAAAGAGGTAGGCTTTCTTGATATGGAAGTTTTCAATAGCTCTAAGATAGCCATGTCCAGGATTGTAGGTTGGTTGCTTTCTCAGTGACTGAGAATAGACTAAGAATAGGGATCTTAAACTAATATAATAAACATTATTACTTCCAGAGTCACTGTTATTACCACCATAATGTTACGATGTACCATAATACCACTTCCTATGACCCAAGTACCGTGATAAGCCCCTGCCCCCCTCCCTTTCACTTGACTTTCGTAACACCACAGGCAGGAATTACCTTTCTCATTTTACAGATGAGGAAAACGAAAGAACTGTTAAGTAACTTCCTTCAAGTCAACCATCCAAAAGAAGTCAGAGCTGAGATAGAAGCCCAGGCACTCAGAAGCTCCATGTAACTGATTTAACCTACTGTGATAATATTAAAATGGAGAAGTATTCCCTATGCTACTAGGGTATTGAGAGAATGTTATTTGACATATTTTAATATTTCTTGAACTTACCAGAACATTTAATTATGGGCCTTATAAATTAAGCATATATCAAATGAGACTGTGAGGTAAAATGTCCTAGGTGTTCTGACAAGGGCTTTTCTTTCCTAGTAGATTGCTTTCTGCAGTGAACTTGTTATTAAGAGCCAAAGTGAAGGGAGCTATATGTAGAGACGTGTGTTTTAAAGGAGCTCTACAGAAAAATCCATGGTTCACTGTATCATTTCAAAATACAAACTTTGCTGTGAATCTTCTATCCATAAACTTTGTTTACTTTCTGGCTTTGGTTACATGCAGGAGTAAGCTGCTTCAAGAAATAATTAAGTCAGACCTGGAGCACAGGCCTGTAATCTCCATTGCACTAAAGGCTGAGGCAGAAAGACTACAAATTCAAGGGCTGATTGGAATACAGTGTGGGTTTGAACATCAGTTTTCTAATGAAGAAATGCTTATATTGTTTAGTGCCTTTGCCATCATTAGTAATGAGGGGACTTGATCAGTTGTCCAGAAAACCCCAGGACTCTCAAATGTCTGTGGTGCTGTCACCTCTTCTATTATCTATTTTCTCAAATATTTGTGCTCAACTACACTTATCTCTGTGTTGATATAATCCCCAAATTACACTTGAAGTCTAAATCCTGGCTCTATTCCTAGCAAGATCCCTGTTTATGGGATACCTCCTGCAAACAGCAGGCTTTTCTAAGCTTTACTCACTGGGCCAACCAACTTTATCATCTATCCCGTCTTTTTAATTTTTTTTATATGCAATCATGCAGTCTCCATTAGCCTCTGTAAACATTAGACTGGGCATATTGTTCTCTACGGCTTTATAAGTATTTTATTGTGTCACAATACTTCATGAATGCCATCTATATTTTCACAGATGAGCCCACCAACCACACAATCTATCTCCTCTACCCTCTTCTTTAAGAAACTAATCCTACTATTGAGCTATACTTTTGCAGAGAAGTGCTACTTTTTAAGAAAAATTACTTTATTAACTATGGCAAACAGCTAATGAAAACTCCCATGTTTAGAGCTATTACAGAACCTAAAGCAAACACAGTCCTATAATTATCATTTAATAGAGTTTCTTTCTAGTAGCTCCTAAAAGTAATTACATATTGAAGTAATCCAAAAGGAATAATCACATTCCACATCCTATTAATAGCCTACTGAGTTACCAAATTTCTCGGCGGAGACTATTTTCCATAGAAAATATGAGATAATGGTTTATATCATGCTGGGTGAAAGCATCCAGTTCCTTTCTCCTTGAGTGCTTCCTTCCATTATGCCATGTAAATAATCACTATTGTGTTTGCCCAAACTCAGCCTAAGCATTAGGCATCTTTAAAAATATAAGAGGGAAAGCCGTCATAATACAAATCACGCTCTCATTTCATTCTGTCTTTCCCCATTCTGCAGACTATGCTTCAAAGCCAGCTGAGCAGGCAGCAAAAAAGTAGAACACTGGATAGCTCTCTTCAACACTGAGTCCATCTTGGGCACCTACTATCAGGAATGGGTTGGTTTGGGCAGATAAAGAGCCAGTCCACCCAGGTTTGGAGACACATTTACTTTGAAAATATTAGACTCGTGACATCTCTGAAAACATGAGAAACACATAATGAATAACATAAATACGAGAACGGCAAAAGACAGAATCCTCCCATCTGTCCAGCTCTGCACTGGTTTATAAAATCTTTTCAGAACCAGTTCTATGTGGTTCTTCAAAGAGCCCATGAAGAGGATGTTTTATGATTTTTACAATTTTAAATGAAGCAAAAATGTGAAACATCAAAAGGTCAGTGACCTATCTAGGGTCATACTTCAAAAAAGTGCTAAAACTAACTCAGAATGTTTGGAGAGCGTTCTGTTTGGTGCATTTAACATGCTATAAATTGAACAGGAAGCTCTAGTGTTTTATAGTTAGCTCTTTTCTGGCTTTGTTTACCCCACAGTTAAATAAGAATAATCCTAAAAGAGGATTACTTTGTAGTTCTGCTCATCAATCTAGGATTCAGGGAAAGTATGAAGAGAATATTTCAATCAGACCCATAATTGCAGTAAAATATACTTTCTATGGTTTTCTTCTATCGCAAAATTAATACATATCTATTATAGGAAAATTAGGAAGCATAAAGGGCATAAATAAAACAGAGAATAATATATATGATATGATAATGGTTTTCTCACAAATAACTACTACTGCTTTTTATTCCTTTGGTTTTACACTATACATCCATTTTTCTCACTTACCATGTACTGTACATTGGTCGGCATCTGTGTACTGATGCGGGCTCTGTCTGGCAATGCCCGACTTTCACTAAAGGGTACCAGGGGACTACTCTTTTTAAATACATTGCTTTTGCAAGCCTTTGCCAGCTATGTGATTATTCTTTTACACCTAATTCTTTAGAATCGTATCATTAGGTCAAAAGCTTTTTGTACATAATGAACAATCTGTCCATTGGAAATGTTATTCTAGTTTATGATAACATCAGTGAAGTCACTTAAGTATGCTTTTTCTCATATCCAAACCAAACCCACATTAATTTTAAAAATCATTGACATATTGGTGGGAACTAGTAATATTTCAGAATCCCAATTCCTTTCATCACTGGTGAATTTTAAAAATATTCGTCATTTCTTGTTTTACTCTTGTAAATCAGCTATTCACATTCCTTCCCCACTTCTTAGAGTATTAGCTCATAATATTAGAGTTGATTTCTAAATCTACTAATGAGTGTAACCTTTGAGCTGTCCTATTTATGTGTAAATATCCCCATGCTTCACGGACTTTTCTTTGGGTTCTGCCTTGTTCTTAAATGTAAATGTCGCCCTTTTCCTATCCTTCAGTGTTGTTATCCCTGACAACACTTTCCTCATCCAAGTTGGTATCAGTATTTACCTGTCTTCTTTTCTTCCTTATGTATTTGTTTTAATTTCAACCTTTTATCCATATAAAACATGTAACCCTTTATCTGTCAATCATTTCACAAATACGATGAAGTAATTGACTATTTCCAAGTGTTTATAATGTCGACTTTATTATCTTCTACACTACATATGATTATAAATCATGGGGCTTTCTACTCTTTCCAGTCTATCAATGAACTTGACTGCTAGTGTCACATTTCCCTTATGTTTTCATACACATACAGTTAAGACCTGACAGAGGCTTTCTTCACATTATTTTCATATAATTATGATTTTATAAGTTTTTTGTTCTCTAGTCATCTTGATCTAATTTCAAATTAATTTTCATGTGTCTAATTGATACATCTGTCAATAGTTTTGTTTTCATTCTAGGTTTATGGATTAATTTAAGAACAAAAATACAGAAAAAGAGTGTTTCCATCCAGAAACTAGGCCTGGCGTTCCACTGAAACAATGCTTTTTCATTATCAACAAGAATGCACTGTGGTTTTCTTCAT